GTGTGTGTGTGTGTGTGTCCGTGTGTGTATGTGTGTGTGTGTGACTGTGAGGTAATTGCAAAACGAATGTGTGTGCATGTGTATGTGTACATGTTCAAGTGAGTGAGTGCACCAGCATAAGGCATATATATATGCATGTGGGTGTGAAGTGAGTGTAAGTGAATGAGAATGTGTATGTAAAAGTGTGAAAGTGTGAAGTGACTGTAAGTGGACATGAGCGGGCATGTAAATGTTGGGTGTATATATATATATATATATATGAGTTTGTATACATGTAGGCCACTCACCAGCTTGACCGGCAGCTGACCAATACTGTTGATTGTACAGTAGCAGAAGACGGGATCGGTTTTCTTCACCCTGAGACGAGGGATCTCGATCACACCCAGGAACAACAACACATGACTCAGCAAATCTTTCTGTGAACAAAACCACCAGGCGCAGGTTAAAAACTCTCAATATTACAGATTCTGATCATTTGAAAATGGTTCCGACATGTCATGTGATTACCAACACACCACTCAGCACAACGTGCCTACATACAAAAAAATTCGATGGCAACAAGGCTAGTGGGTGAGGTGACCGAGAAAGACCTGGATAGATGGAGTCAGGGAAACATTAACAACTCACGTCATCCCCTTGACCTAAGCTCTCCGGCTGGTGGCACAGAGACGTCTCATTCTTCCCATGACATCCAAAAGGGTATAAGCGGCAGATAAAAGTAGAGTAAAGTAAGACCATTTGAAATTAGAATAAGGGCAAAAAATGATTGCGCTTGAAATCACAAGGTCACAGTATGACAAAGTTGAAGTGCAACTCATTTGTTACGTTAAACTTTGCAATGAATGAACAGGGAGTAAGAATATTTTTCAATAGATATTTTCTTTTAGAAAATAGAAGGGGTGATTACTTTAAAAAAGAAAAGAAAAGTGACTACTTTAAAAACGAAAAAAAAAAAGTGACTACTTTAAAAAAGAAAAAAAGAGTGATTACTTTAAAAAAGAAAAAAAAAGGAGAGTTATTACTTTAAAAAAGATAAGAGTGACTACTTAAGGAAGGAAAAAAAGAAAAGTGATTACTTCAAAAAAGAAAAAAAGAAGAGAGATTACTTTAAAAAAGAAAAACAAGAAGAGAGACTTCTAAAATAAAACGAAAAAGAACAGAGATTGCTTTGAGTGCATGCCACTAACATTCTAAACTTTTATCTTCAGACATATTGACAGTTGTGAAAAATCATTTAAATG